AAACCGAACCGAATTTTCTAATTCGTTCTTTGTCGGATATTCATATTGCTCAAAATGGGAAGGACTTCGTCGTTCGGAATTCGGTCAAAATGGAAAGGACTTTTGGTTCGGACGAAGTCGGATGGAATAGCTTTCTTATTAGTAAGTCATCACTTGAACATTAAGCTATATAATTGCTCGGTAATTTGATTGTTATGTTTACATACATGTTTATATTGTATAGTTCCTTTTTTATTGGGCCTGCTAGCGTATATGCCCGCATTAAAATCGGTGAAACCTCATATAAGCTTTCAAATTCTACTAGAGGCATGTTAAGTTGTTTTCCAAGAAATGAAAGATAACCTTTTGATTATAGTTAATTAATATTTGAATGTTACGTAACCATATGTACTTGTTGATATGGTTTGCGCTCATTTCACTGATTTCGGTTTTTTGTTAGCTGTGACAATGATGTTACTTCAAACAAGCTCCACATTTTATTGTTTGGGGGAAAAAGTTAAGTAGACAAAATGGACAAATAATGATACTTCATCAGAAATTAATAGGCAATGATCTCAGGTGTGGGCAGATTTTTGTGAAATAGTATTAATTCGGTCCAAAACCGAAACCGATCCGAACCGATCCGAATTTCGGTTGGGCCGAATATTCGGATGAAGGGAAAAAAATCTGGATCTGGATCAGAGTTTTGAGAATTCGAAAAATTTGGATTGGATACAAATTGAGCTTAAAACCGATCCGAACCGAATATGCTCAGCCCTAAGAGAGGATATGGATTTGAGCTTACATTTTGAGAGGGAAAGTAGAACTGGGAGGTTTTGGCCTTTTTTTTACATTTAACCCCCTCTGGTGCTTTTTATCGGAGATCTGTTTTTTTATTTGGGGGTACGGAAAGTAATATTTTACCCCTATAATTTATAGTTCAGAATTCTTGTTTTTTCTTGGCCGGGTCACAGCTTCTACGCTTCACAAACTTCTAAAACATAAAATTGATCTCAAAGATAACACATTTTATCGCTTTGGCCTAAACAGTGCAACGGCCATAGAAAATTATAATTTGACAACACTTAAAGCCTTTCTGATTGTGAAGACAATTTTTAAGGGAAATATTATTTTTTTTTACATATAAGCCCCTCAATCTCCTGTATTTTTTGGATTAATCCCTCTTATTGCCCTCTTCATATTTTAAAAATTAAAAAAAAACCCCTCATTTTCCACAATCTCCTCCCTCCTCCTCGTCATCATCTCCTCCATATCTCCAATGTTCACTCCTTTCTCCCACTTCTTCTCCCTCCTTTCTAATATTCTCACTCTTACATTATTTCCACCATCTCCTCCATTCTCTTCTTCTCTCAATCCCCAACCTCCCCTCCTCTCTTCCACTCTCGCTTCCTCCTCCTCTTCTTATCTACCACTTCCTAAACCTCTTTGATCGCCCACTTCAAATTCATCCCTAAATTATCAAAATTTTGATGTATTTCTCCTCTTCCTCTCTTAGACTCAACATCAAACATTGAGGCATTATGAGAGAGGGAAGAAGAGCGGAGAAGTCAAAAAAGAGAAGAGGAGAGAGATGGAAGAGGGGATAGAAGCTAAAGAAGTTAAGGAGAGATGATTAGAGTAAGAGGAAGAGGAGACGGTAAGAAAGAAAATGGGGAAGGAAGAGAGAGTGGGAGAAAGGAGAGAAGGTTAAGGATTGGGAAAAGAAAAGGATGCATGATAGCGCGAGAAGGAGAAGGGAGGAGATAGGAGAGGGAGTTTTTATATTACAAATTTTAAAAGATCAAATCCAAAAATATGGGAGTTATGAGGGGTAAATATGAAAAAATTTCTTAATTTTTTAGTTCAAAATTGCTTCTAGTCAGTGGCGTAGCCAGTGTATTCTTGCCCTAGGCAGCTACCCAGGGCAAGAATATCCCGTCATTGTCACCCTCCCTCCTCCCCGCTTCCCCTCTCTTCTTCCTCATCTCCTTCCTCTCCTCATCTCCTTCATCTCTTCAACTTTGTCGAGCATTTCCCTGATCTTCCGCCTCACCCATGACCTCTCCCTCCTCCCCGCTTCCTCTCTCTTCTTCCTCATCTCCTTCCTCTCCTCATCTCCTTCCTCTCTTCAACTTTGTCGAGCATTTCCCTGATCTTCCGCCTCTCCCATGACCTCTCTCTCCTCCCTCTACCGCGCCTCCCTCCTCTCTCTCACTGAGCTCCTCATACTTGTAGACCACCTTTATTTTTCGCCCAGGGTAAAAAATAATCCTAGCTACGCCACTGCTTCTAGTGATCAGAAAGACCTATGTATCACCAAGTTGTTACTTTTTACGTCAACGTATCGTCAATGTCACTTTTTAGACGAAACCAGTAAAGAATGTCAATATTTAGGATATTGTTGGGAGTTAAAATAGGACAGAGTTGTAATTAACTCCCATAAATACCAATCTCTTATTTCTCTGTTATGTTATGAAAATGATTATTTGGCGTTTCACAGCCACTTTTGGGGCAATTAATACTTAGTTTTCTCGTCCTCTCCACCTTTTGCTAGTTAGATTGTGCGACGGGAAATAATCAACACAGTTCAACTCCCTAAACTATATAGAATTCGAAACATTCTTTTTCTCCTTCTCAAGAGATTTTGAGTCCGAGACAGAGATCTGAAGTTCTTTTCCAGTCAATCAATTTTGCAGCATCTCTTGTTTAATAAAATCTCATCGCTGTCTTTCATTGTCTAATTCCTCCTTATTCAACTTTTACATATTGTGTTTATCAGATTCATATAGATCTTAAGTTTCGTTGTTGTGATTCGATGAATGCTTCCGCAATCCTCTATTAATCAAATTCCTACATTTCATTTACCCATGGTTTTTAATTTTGATTAGATGAGCTTTTTAAATAGTTTGATGGATTTATTGGTCAAAAACTGATGGTTTGAAGGATAAATTTTTAAAAAGAGCCAAATTTAATGTTTAATTGTAAAAGTTGACCTACTTCATATTCAATTAAAAAAATTGACCAACTTTTAGCCACGCCATCATATTGACAAGAAAGTTGGTCGATTTGTGAAAATATAATTTTCTTAATTACCTAGCATTGACAATTTCGGATAATTAGGCTTGTAAGTAGGGATCTAATTTAAAATTAGTTTCCAAATAATTTTGCAAGTTATTAGAAATCTAATTTGATTCTTCAGAAGAAAAGAAAGGTTGGTAGTTCAAAATTATCACATGCTCTCCATAAAAAACACGTGTGAATTGGAATGGATATACCTAATCTCAAAATACTTAGGCATTAAAACAACTAAATACTAAAATTGCTCTTTTTGAAAAATTTTCCATTTTGACGTTAGTCTTCCAAATTATCTTAATATGTTAATATTAGTCTCCCTTGGTAGTATATGGAAGAATGAGAGTGGAATATTCTATTAACTTCTACGCAATAAGTAGTTGACGCTCATATCCCTTTCATCATAAACTCAAACCTATTAATTAGCCATATAAATTCAAAATCGTTCACTGTATAACCTATTTTGTTAAAGCTCAAACCCAAACTCATTTGCAACATCATCTTCTCCAAAGTTCTCTTCAAATTTCCTTTGTTCTCATTCCTCAAAAATAAATGGTGAATGGAGATAAGATCAAGTGAAGGTCTGAGCCTCTGAGAGCATTAAAGAGAATGCAAGGGAGTAAAGTACAGAGAAAATGAGGATGAAGCCGTCAATAAGGATTGAGATAAGGCTCGTTGATTAAATTTGTCATTGATGGGAGGCGAAATAGAAACACTACAAATTTCTACTGATTACATCCACCAACGAGTCGGCGCATCTGGTGTAGTGGTATCATAGTACCCTCCCACGGTACTGACCAGGGTTCGATTCCCTGGATGCGCATCGTGCACTTTTTAAATAATATTTTTTCAACCAATGAACTCGTCAGAGATCTTACGTACCATAAATTTCAAAAGACAGAAAATATAACAAACAATCATAAAACGATATAAAGTTTTTTGTGATAATAATGACAATAACACTAGAAATTCTGTACTACTTATTTGGCAATAAATGAAGCTATACATAGCTAGTGACATTATTAAAAATTTAAAATCCATGATAATACGTTATGATGTTTTATTATTTTACTCTAATAAAAAATAGTATACAATATTTTTGTGAAAAAAATCAGTAACAATTTAGGGTAATTTTAGTGAAAGTTGTCCAATTCAAAATCAATCATGATCCCTTGATGATGTGTTCGTTTCGAAAAAAAAACCCTAAAATCCTTCTAACAACGTTAGGAAAAAATAATTTTTTGTTTTCTAATTTTCGTGTTTGTTTCATCGCTAAATTTTAATATACATAAATCTCGGAAAAAAATTCACTTTTGTGATGAAACCATTACCGCTCAAACTGAGAGGAAATGTGGTGAAAAGGAGTGGAGATGTGCTTTTAATAATTAAATAATAAATTAGGTGTTTTTTCTCATTTTATTTTTAACGATTAAACTATATTTGCTTTTCCATTTTCTCCTTTTAATCCAAACTAGACAATATGTTGAAAATCTTTTCCACCTTGTAATTTCAAGCTGAAACCAAAATATAAAATCCTTTTATATAGAAACACATATAAAAGTATGGAAATAGATTTTTGGGAAAATTGTGTCCAGGCCCCAAAAGTGGGAACTTCATGTGACAAGCCCCCTCGTATTTCGGCCCATGTGTATTAGCCCCAAAAAGTGAAGACTAATGTTTTAAGCCCCCTCCACGTCAGCGTTGTACAAAAGCAGGTTGTATTTTTTCAAAAAAGGCGATACTGCCCTTCTCCTTCTTCCCCAGACGAGGCGCCGTCCCTTAACAGTAGACACTCCTCTTTAATGCGATAAGATGGAAGAAATGGAGGGAAATTTCCCCCCTTTTTTCCCATCATGAGCAATAACTATTTAGTTATCCATTACTTCTCCTCAGACCAAAATTCTCTCCTTTACTCGCGCCATTAATCTTACCTTCTCTTTCTCTTCAAAATGGCTGAGAAGGATATCATTTGCATTGTCTCTTCGGGGTACAAAGCGGTATTTTTGAAGATTAACTCCTCAACCACCATCCTGGATCTCAAATTTGATGTGGCAGAGAGGTTAGGTATTCTATATGAGTCATTAATTCTGTCATACGAAGATGAAACAGCTGGAAGCTTGAAATTTCCTATTGAGAACGAGGGGGACATGATGTCTATGGTGGAGCATTGCCACAATCTTGGACTGAAAGAGGTTCACATGAAAGCTGATGATTTGCAGAATATACACTGCAATGAGCGAGTCCAACCTTGCAAAGAGCAAGTCCCACAAGACATGTAGGTTAACTGCGAAGTAAACGAACGCTAGTGCTAATCGTCTTCTTTTTGTCTATGTTGAATGTTAAACTGGATTTCAGATGCATTTCAACAATATGTTAGTTGTAATCGTTGACCTGTTAGTTCTAATCAACGTGTTGTTGCTGAACGGGTTTTTGTTAGTTCTAATGGCTATTTTGTTAGTTCTAATCGCTATTTTGTTAGTTCTAATGGCTATTTTGTTAGTTCTAATCGCTATTTTGTTAGTTCTAATGGCTATTTTGTTAGTTATAATCGCTATTTTGTTAGTTCTACACGATTGCATGCATGTTAGTTCTATTAATACATATAGGGGTTTCTGTTAGTTCTAGTAGCTATTTTGTTACTTCTACACGATTGTATGTTAGTTCTATCACCAGTTCCATATGGGGTAGAGCTACTCTAAAGCATGTTAGACCCCTATCAACACTTTTATTTGTGTAGTTTATGATTAACTATTTTCCTGTTGTTAATATTTGTAGCGCTTCCAGAAGTCTAAACTCGAAAAGTATAGACTGTGGCCCGCCGGAGTTGTCGTCCACAACTGTTGCAGATAAGAATCCCAATGACATTCCTTCAAGAGATAATGTTATGATGATTGATGACATGATTAGCAGATCTGAGAGGATTCCTGCTTGGTGGCACACTGCGTTAACTGGGGAGGGGCAACGTTTTGAAAGTGCGAAGGAGTTAAGATTGGCCTTGCTATACTACTCCATGGCCAAAAAATTCGAATATGAGTTTGTGAAGAATGAACCAAAGCGTATTCGAGTTTTTTGCCGGTTTAAGGTAGCCAAAAATTGCCCATGGATGTTATTTGCCTCTCCGCCGAAAAATGATAATAGACTTGAAATAAAAAGGTTCGTGGACATTCACAACTGTGGACAACATGCCAATAATGCAGGTCAATCTAGAGCCTCTCGTCATTTCATTGCTACCCAATTACAACCCACGTTGAAGGTACGTCCGGATATACGACCTATTGACGTTCAGAAGGAGTTTCTAAGTTCATATGGGATTAGGGTTGAATATAGTAAGATTTGGTGGGGTAAAGAAAGAGCTCAAGAGCGATTATATGGTGATGCTTATGAGTCCTACGATCAATTGAGATGGTAAATCAGAAGATCATATATACACAAGTTGCTGTTGTTTTCATTTATATGACGCTATAAGTCTCATAACTTTATAATGTTGAAACTAACGCTTAATCTTCAATTATCTAGGTATGTAGACGAGGTTAAGAAGACAAATCCGGGAAGCTACATTCATGTTGAACAAGACGAGGGTAGGTTTACAAGGATATTCATCTGCTATGCGGCCTGCATAAATGGTTTTTTACAAGGTTGCAGACCACTTATATTTTTGGATGGAACCTTTCTGAAAGATCGATTCAAAGGTATACTATTAAGCGCCGTGGCATATGATGGCAATCAGGGGATATTTCCATTGGCCTATTGTATCTGCGATCAAGAAAATAATGTTAACTGGAAGTGGTTCCTACAAGGTTAGTTCCAACATTATAATGTTAATTCTATCTCCTTCGTAGTTAACTTTAAGGGCTGTTAACCAATACTCTTTGTAGGTCTGTGGTCCATTCTCTATGAAAGGGCAGATCCATACAACCCTCCACATAAGCTAGTGATAATTTCAGATGCGGATAAAGGGATCAGAGAAGCAGTTAGAGAATTTTTTCCCGATTCTATACACTCTCGCTGTGTGCTGCATCTGGTCGAGAACTTCAGAACAAAGTTGAAGGATTTGGGATTCAAGTCAAAGGATTCTCAGATCTTGGGTAATCTACTGCAATCTGCCTGTTACAAATATACTAGAGCAGAATGGAATGATTATATGGACGACATCAGACTAATTGACGAGCGTGCATACAATATTGTGATGAACTATGCTCCAGAAAACTGGGCCAATGCGTTTTTTCCTGGAGTTAGGCAAGTAATATTTCATTTGATTACCTTACATATAACTAATAGAAGTAGATAGAACTAACACTGTCTATGTTTAGATATGGTCACGTTACATCAAATGTTGCAGAGTCATTCAACAAATGGATTCATGAGGCAAGGCTTCTACGGATACTCCAACTGATAGAGCATATTCGTAAACAGATCATGGTGCGCATGAATGAGCGACGAGTCATGGCTGAAAGTTGGAATCAAGTTCTTTGCCCCAAAGCTGAAATTGCCCTCAAGGAGAACATGGACAATGGACGCCCGTTGGAGGTTCGTCAGTCCCACACAGGCTTATTTGAAGTACAATCCCATAGATCTTGTCAAGTGGATCTAGACAATAAAACATGCACTTGCCGTGGGTGGGATGTAACCCGTGTCCCTTGCAAACATGCATGCGCAAGCATTATGTTTATGAAAAGGGATGTCTACCAATTCTGTGACTGGTTTATGACGGTTGACGCCTTTAAAAGGAGCTACGAGCCTATCATCTACCCTATACCTGACTACGAGAAACGCAGCGTGCCAAGGGATGAGATACAGATCCTACCTCCAATTACAACAAAAAGGAAAGGGAGAAATAAGACCAGGCGAATCAACAACAGAACTGTTTACACCCGGCCAGTTAAATGTTCTCGGTGTCATCTGGAAGGGCATAATCGTAAAACCTGTAATGAAACCATCGCTGACTAAGTGTGATTGAAATGAAACTAGCGATGACTAAGTGTGTTTTGAAATAAAACATGTAATGAAAATAGATCTGTATTGTCCGATTTGCTAGCACACTTCTAAAAATAGATCTAACATGGTACCTATTAGAATTAACAAAACAGACAATAGAACTAACAAGAGCGTTAATAGAACTAACAATAGAACTAACAGAACTAACACACTGAGCATTAGAACTAACACAATAGAACTAACAAAACAGACATTGTACCTAATAGAACTAACAAAATAGTCAATAGAACTAACAAAACAGACAATAGA